CTTCAAGTAAACCATAACTACAAGGTTATATGCGTGAAAAATTCGGGTGAAGAAACGAGGAAGTGTTGCCTCATTGCAATGAGACAGTAATTTCTTCGGGATTATTTCCTGTTTTAATTGAAATCGAACGGAAAATTTGCGAAGTGAAAGCTGTGTTTATCATCCTTTGCATATCGAAGCATGCCCATTGCCAAAGTAATGTGTAACCTAGTATTTCATGATTATCTTCGCTGAAAATTAATCATTCTTTATCATTTATTGCATTACTGACAACATTTTTCGAATGAGTGTGGACCTTGTATCTGCAAGCTCGTTACGAGAAGTTGCAATCTTTTCTTATTTTAAGTAGAATAAAAGTATCCATGATAAACCTGTGTAATTGAGTTTTCGAGATTCCCGGCCGATGTGAAATATGACTTTAGATTTTTTCTCCATTTCGATCGGTGAATAACACGGGTAAACTTCTAATTCGCACCGTTGACGGAAATATTATATTTTATTATGTTTATTGATATTTATGATTTTATAGGTTAAATAACAAAATTGGGCCTCTATTTTGCGTGCGAGTAACGAGAAGAATTATTCTAGACTGTCACTTTTTCACGATTATTATGAATTGATTTTCATAGTTTTTTTTATTGAAATTATCCAGTTTTGCTCACCAGCGCTGAGGGGAAGATTATTAATGTGAAGACTTTACTGAACAGCTCGTGTGAGGGAAGACACCGCAGCAAAGTTCCTGAAGTGATGTTGCAGTTGCGCAGCAGACGCGCCGTCAGGTAACTCAGGTGCAACACCTGTCAATGTTGCACACACAAAATACAGTTAAACTAGCTTCATGAACTGACAGTTTAGACAGAGGAATATCTTAATTTTCTTTATCTTTTTTTTTCTATTTCTGAGCATCCATAAGGAATTTAAAAGCATAGAAAACACCAAGCAAATTCACTATATCGATATAGAAAACGTTTCAGAGTCCATGCAGCTCCATCATCATCAGGAGTCCGAAACGTTTTCAATATCGATATAGTGAATTTGCTTGGTGTTTTCTTCGCGTTTCAATTCCTTGTGAACTTGCGATATAAGCAGACTGATAATATAAGTACTTATATACGATCTAAATACGGCGAGGAAGGATGAGCATCATGCATAATTCTGGATAATCGAAACGGGCGTAATATTTATTGACATATAAACTTTCCCCCTCCAAAAACATATATTTTGATTGCTTATTTTATTTTTTTCATTGCGAACAAAATTGTTTTCAGTACCATCGTTTTTGCAAAAATGTAAGAATATTGTTTAAATTAACTCGCAAATAACAGAAAGACATGTATAATGTGTTTGATAAGTATTCCGAAATTTGACCAGTTATGACTTTCATTAACGTTTGCTATAAACACCATCACCAAAAGCAACATGAAGTTGCCAGCGTCATGGTATCATTCCCATGATAGGACTTAAATCTTTACCGACTGTATCTTAGTAAATTAAAATCTGTTAAAATCAGAGCATAAGCCACAAAATTCATTCTTCATAAGTATTATGTGTAAAAAAGGAATGATTTAGAATATATATGTTTCTAATGTTGCGTGTAATTGAAGCTCCTTGGCATCGAATAATACGAAAGATTTTAATGCGTTTGTTCACGGGCAAAAAAGGCCAAAGTAGATGTCGTGTCCTTCTCTGAATTGTATCTTAATGAATTCAATCGCAAAAAAATTACTCACTGCGTTGAACACCAGAGGAGCTTCGATGGGGAAATACACGACAGTTTGATCGACCCCGCTGGCTTCAGCTGAGAACTTCCGAGGGTTGAACTGAAAGCAGCAAATGCCAATAGCATAAAGTGAGACGAACGTCACTTGAGTGAAGAGTACCAATAGGTTTTGCATCTCGATGATCTGACGAAAAAAGATGAAGATGGATTGTAGAATATGAAATTAGCCCTAACTTAAAAAAAATTGGGAGCAAATTCTGAATATTTAATCGGACCGGGAGAAAGAAGATAAAAAATTCTATGAAAATAATAATGGCGAGCCAAAAAATAAATAAATTTTAGATAAAAATGTTATTTGTATATTAAACCGTAAAGTAACCAAAGTTCCAGGAGCGAATAAAATGCAAATTAAATTCACAATATTAGCAATGAAAACGTTCCACCATGCACCACCATCACCGACCCTACCTACCATCACCATGCATCACACAAGTTACCTCTTATTTCCATCATCACCTACACCCTTAATTGCTCTCGTATCACTACAAGATTTCTGTTGCCTCATGGTTTGAGTATAAAAGTCTGTTTTATGGTCGTCAATGTATTTCAGCGTCGGTCTGGAAACAATTATCTATATAATAGTTTGTTTTCCACCAGGCATGTGAACAACGAAAAATACACACTCATAGCGAATATACATTCAAGAAGATTTATTGAAAGTTGCTGTTGCATTGCAACACACCAGCAACATCACCAGCCCTCGACCAAGTGCAAGGAATGTGCGCTCCTCTGGGATTTATTAATTTTATCAAACGACAAGCAATATAAACGAACAGAAATTTTATTTAGAAATTATTTGAATTAATTATTAATTTAATAATTTAATATTATTTATAATTATTAGGAATAATAATAACATCTAAGAAATTTTCGTACAACAACCCATTAATAACAATGCGCAAGATTTTCTACGGCGATACATGTTGGGCCACGAAATTTATATATATTAATTTTACAATGCACTGATAAATTGATAAATTCATCTCACATCCGAGAATTATATGAATATTTAAAGCGAGCCATGTCGATTTCAATGAGAAGTTTCATAGAATGTGTAGGGACCCTGCATGATGAAATAGAATGCAAGTTCCTTCAGCATTTCACGGTGTTTGTTCATTGTGTGGCCAATAGCTAATTGTTGTGCTTGTCTCTAACAGCTCTTACTTCTCCGAGATACGCGGGGGCTTCACGCGTTCAGGGAAGATCGGTATTTTGAGGCGCACCAGAGCGGCAAAGGCGGAAGAGTGTCTAGCTGCTTGTCATGCTAGATGCGTTAGTCAGACCAGAGAAAGTGACCAATTGTCTTGATAGATGCGTTAATCAGACCTGAAAAAAGTGACCAATTGTCTTGCTAGACGCGTTAATAAGACCAGAGAAAATTGTCTGCTTGTCTTGCTAAACGAGTTAATCAGACCAGAAAAAGTGACCAGTTGTCATGTTAGACGCATTAATCAGAACAGAGAAAATTGTCTGCTTCACTTGCTAGACGCGTTAATCAGACCTTAGAAAAGTATCTGCTTGTCTTGATAGACACTCAGATCAGACCAAATAACACTGATCTTCACGCAGCTTCTTCTTTAATCTAGTATTAGTTTATAATAATTCTTTTTCAAGTGATAAAGTCATATTAACGAACTATATTCTGGAGTTGTTCATTTTATTTACAAAAATAATTGTTATAACATTCTTTTATCTGCGAACTGAGGTAGGGTTTCGTTGACGCACAACAATATCCTGTGCCATAAAGTTCAAATTTTATTTAAATTTCAACATCCAACGCTGACAAGACTTAACAAGCACGGCATGAACATCGCAGAGGTCAATATTAAACTCTGTCGGCAATGCACTCTTGCCAGTTTCCAGCCTCAAATGGGAGCTTATGAACTTGTTATGAACTTGTTATGAACTGAACTTGTTATGAACTTGTTATGAACTTGTTATGAACTTGTTATGAACTTGTTATGAACTTGTTATGAATGAACTTGTTATGAACTTATTATGAACTTGTTATGAACTTGTTATGAACTTGTTATGAACTTGTTATGAACTTGTTATGAACTTGTTATGAACTTGTTATTCATGGACACTTCTATCTGGTAAATGTTTTGAGCCGATGGATCAGGAGCCACGTCCCTGGAAAATTTATACGATGTATCTTAAAATACTTCATATATAATAATAAATTGATTATGAGAGCATTTTAATGTTTAAAATTAAATAATGTAGTTATTTTGTACGGATAGCACATATTCGGTTCTACTAAACACCTCATTACCTATTAATACACACTTAGGCGTCAGATAGCCACATGAAAAGAGGGGCAGGTTTTAGTCATTATTTAAACACAGGACGCCACGAGGGAGTAAAATCTCAAGTTACGAACAAAGGGAGGAAATACACAACCTACATGAGATGAAGCTATTGTTCATAGGTAGTAAAAAGGTTTTGAAAGAAAATATTCTCACGTACTAACTCATTTCCCGGAAAAGTTCAGAGCACAAGAGAATGTGACGTGAAGAAATTCAGCTTTCATATTTTCAGCAACTAAGAATTTAACAAAAGATAAAATTCTGCAAATTTTTCTTGCAGAAAGAGATCAAATGATCAAATAGACAATCAGGTGCAACATAAGCAGTTATTTTTTTAAATATAACATGAAAAAACTTTGGAATCACAAACTGCCCACAGATCTTCAAATAAGGCATTATTAACTATTGAAGAACCTCCACGTGATTCACTATAATAACATCGCTCAAAAGGAGAGCGTTGTGACGAGTAAAAATTACTTGTACAAATGAGGAAGTTATCGTATATAATATATACACTATCTGTTTGCATAGCACCTCAGGCCAGAGATCAATAAGATGTTTTTGTTTATGTAGGTATAATTCATCGGACAATTACTTGTAGAAATGAGGAAGAGACCGAAGCTGGGGGTCGTTGACCCCCGGGTGGCATCCAAGCTTCGGGGGCGTCGTGGGCGCTGTATCGGCCACGGCGCCGTATCCGTAGGCTTCTCTCCGCCTCCTTATTTCTTCAGCTGGCACCTGAACCTCTGTGGAAATGTGGTTAGGGATAACATCAGTTAATTTAGATTTCATTTTCTTTACAAATATATGCGAATTTACGGTTCACTTATATATTTTGAGATTTACGAAGGATTCGAAAAATTCGAGGAAATGCAATTATTGATGACATTAGTTAATTAAAACAGCATTGCCAAATCAACTACTTGCGAATTCACGATTTATTTATTTAAATAAGACTAAGGAAAGATTTAATGCCTTTGCGTATAAGATCATTATTGTTATTTTTTATCTCGTGTTATTGATATTTGTATTTTTTTAATTACCCATATAATGGGAATAAGCGACTGCCACGACTATGACGGAGGTCACGGTAATGAGTCCCCAGGAGTTAACTGGAAAAAATCAATACGTAGAAATATTTGAATCAATTATGACATTTACTGTGCAGCAATAATACTCGACAGGTAAAAATTATTATATTAATATTTTAGTAGTTGTATTGTGAGTTTTTGTATCATGGCAAGACACAAACAACTACAATAAATAGGTTGAGGGGAGGATTTCGCCTCATTAGAGCTTATCTTGGAATGTGCATTATCATTGGAGAAATTCCTGCGATGCCCACCCTGTTTGGTGTTCACGACACACGCGATTCAAAATGTCTTGTGTTCCCCAAGTAAAGTAATTATTAAAATGAGAGAGATAATAATAAATCAGTGTTTCTAACCTTTAACTCCGGTTTTCGTCGTAGGTTCATGCATATCGTTCCAGGGCTGCGCTTGCGGTAAACCTGCGGCTATGCTGCGAAGAAAGTCTCCGGGTACAAGCAAGCTTCTTATTGATTGCGGGCTATTGATTCAAGGTAATTAATCAGTTCCAGCTAATAATTGAAATTGCATTTAGATCAGTGTTAGATACTTTTACGAGAAATTTTCACGACAAATAGCATCTGAAATTAAATTAGACACGGCATCATGCATAATTAAGTGCATAATTATCTTAAATNGTATCATTGATGCAGATGCTAGTAGTCATGCATCACATGCGTATCATTGATGCAGATGCTAGTAGTGATGCATGCACATGCGAATGATGGATGCAAACCATTGTCGCATCATATGGGCACGAAGGTTTGCTAGACACATTCGCTCAGTGGCACTAGCGCACCCACCTGCGGCGCGTGGTCGTCATATGCTGATAAGCCATTTGTCTCGACAGCAGCAGACGTCCTTCACATTCTTGTGATGGCCTATTGTATACATTCGCGCGAAATTTTGGATAATTTATCTTATTACTGGTGTACAACGTGAGATTACTTAACAATACTGGGTGTAACATAATTTTAGAGAGTAATTTGGTATACTGCAGCTACTTAAATACCAACGGTAAACAATTGTTCTTTCATTAGGGTGTTGATTTCATTCAAGGAGCATTAGAGACTACAAAATCTATAAAATGCTGAAAAATTCTCTGAAATCCAGTCAAAATTCTGTCCAAGATGTATGTATAAAACAGCACCCTCGTCAATGGCATTCCCAGTCGTACACCGAATTTCCAAATGTAATGCATGGGATAGGCTGTCGTTTCTTTAATTATAAAGAACCTTCATATTTAATTATATTAATATTCTTACGATCACTCCAGTTCATCATTAGAGAATATCTCATTTGATTGGATATTCGTGTGAGTGAGAATAAGTTATCGTGTCACCGCGAATAGTGGATTCAAATGTCGAAATCGGGTAAGAAAATAATTGTAGCTCGTAAATTGAACTTACCAAAAAATTAAAAAAATTACCTCACATAAAATATTGTATTGTTAATGGTTGGACGACAAAAAACTCACCAAATAATTTTCTTGATTTCATATTCTCACATGCCGACATTAATCATGTTTTAAATTTTGTAAATAAAATATATTGGTAGCGCATTTTTAAATTAGCTCAAAGCCAAGACCAAGTTCAATGCATTTCCCATGAGACGAGACCATAAACGTAAACTCGCTCTTAGGTACAGTCTTTAAGTGATATTTCTCACATAATCAGAAGTAAACCATCCTGGCGATGGGAGGACTGGAGCGGCACTATACAAATCTTCGCCTCGTCATGAAGCAACACCTCTAACAAAGTTCAAGGTATGCTTTGGCCTCTGCCCCAAAGTCGCTATGCTCGCTTTTAAGTTATTCTGGGTCTGCTTGGCAATCTGACAGTGATCAGACTAGTCGGAACCTCCTTGCTGACTATATAGTCGTCTGAGACTGGGAGTATAGCAAGAGTTGGCTTGGCCAATTGTACCGAGCTTGCAAGCTACACAGGTGCTGCAAATCAAGCCCATGACAGAAAGCCTCCGAGACGTTTGAGTACGAGCATGCCCAATCCCTGTAAATAAAGTTCAAATTGATCTAAACTATCTATTGATCTAACTATTCATTTGCATTCAACCGACAAAGCTTTTCAGTTATCAATAAACTAACATTCAAAATATTTTGGTTTTATACTATAATTTATATGAAAGAGGTAGAAAGAAGATGAAATTAATCAATGAGTTATATGTATCGAAATTTTTATGAATCAAGGTTCTAAAAACTGACATAAAAACTCGTATCTCATACCTCGTAATAAAATAAATAACTACTCTCTTATCTCTCAGCATCACTCGAAGAAAAAGTGCGTAGTTTCATTCGAATTCTAAAAAATAGTTCGTGAACGTGCGGAAATCTAGTCTAAAAATTTCGAGCCTTGTGCTCACTTATCGAATGCATAAAGGTCTTGTAAGTAAATAGGATGTCTAAATTGAATTCAGCTAATATATTTTTTTTCTGAGGCAGGAGACCGAGAAATGTTCATTTGATATAAGTCGAAGAGTTAAATTCTGGGGACCTGAATACGAGCAGTAGATTTTTTGCACGGTGGTATATACCTCATTTAAAAATGTATAAGCGATATTTTTCGGTTATTTATATACTACCATGTGCATCATTAATATTTTACTCAGCTGCTGAATATTTACAGATTAATGTGTTGGTGATGTAATATTCGTAATAAAAAATATATTGATATGGAGGCCCATGATTATTTTTGGAACGGGTAAAGTATTGGAACACTGCTTGACGACCGCTCGTGTAAAGAAAGGCAAGCACATAGTTAGATGCTGTTGGTGGTTGGTGTTGTTGCATTTTTTCAAGTGTATAAGAAGTGAGAACTTAAATAACATTGCAAGGTAATTATAATATCTATTTTCGTGAGTAGGACAAATGAAAATTCATCTGTACGGTAGCTAATATGGTTGATTATATATAGAACAGCTTCTATAGTGGTGTTCGCAACCGTTGGGGTTGCAAGTCGCGAGGCGTGGTGGTCTAATAATAGCGGCCATGGCCATATGAAACGAAGTTTGTTTAATCAATTATTAATTTCAGTGGTCTGTTGTCCTTGATTTTAGAATTTCAATGATATTATTTCCCTATCACAATTTTTTGCTCATTAGGACCTTGCACCAACTGCCAGGTCGTTATTGCTGAGTGGTAGAGCGGTGGTACATATATTTAAGATTAAACCGCCCCTTCTATTCTATCTATTCTAAATATTGGCATATATAGAGAAAAGCTTTATTTCCAATATATGTATCATATGTGCAACTGGCAAGTTAAAAACACTTTGAATAGGGTAACATCATAAATGTCACGTAGGTAACAGGAGACGATCAATCATGATATTTGATAAATGATGTTAATCACATTATATATCAAATGACAACAGTCGATCAATCAAGAGGTTTGATTAATTATGTTAATCACGTTAAATATCAAATGACCACAGTCGATCAATCATGTGGTTTGATAAATCATGTTAATCACATTATATATCAAATGACAACAGTCTATCAATCAAGAGGCTTGATAAATCATGTTAATCACATTATATATCAAATTTGATAAATCATGTTAATCACATTATATATCAAATGACAACAGTCTATCAATCATGTGGTTTGATAAATCATGTTAATCACATTATATATCAAATGACAACAGTCGATCAATCATGAGGTTTGATAATTAATGTTAATGATGAATAGTTCTTAATATCTGATTTGATCATATGAATAGTTTTCTTAAAAAAGATCGATATGCTTTCTTTCGCAATGCCGTTAAAATGCATTAAAATGTGACAGCTGGTTTCAAGGGAAGTTTGTTTTGTAAAAAAACTTTTGATATAATATAACGTTAGTTAATTAAAATCAATAAAATGATCAACTCGACTTCTTTATTTGAAAGATATGATCAATCTAAACAGATTTTGTGAGTTCTCATGATTTTACGATTCAAATTGGAATGGTGTGGTAAGCTTGGCAAATTTTAATTGCGTGACTTGGCCCAAACGAATTCGTGTATGAAAACTAGTTCTATTTAACGAGGTTCATCTAAAAGGAAGTCTCGACATTTATGCCTCACAACTCTCATCTGAAAGCAAATATAAAAGTGTCACAACCTGTAAGAAAACCATCGAATATATTTCACCCTTGAGGAATTCGTATATGATGCAAAGGATTGAATCCGGTAGTTTGTGTCTTACATTGTTTAGCAACGTTAGCCGGAGTGACAGAAATAAACTTGAGCGCTGTGATGAATCGCCTGATAGGTTGGTCAGATACGGAGGAGTTTCTGCGTCTGCCAGATGTGTTGGTGTTTGAAAGAGTGGTCATACATGTAGGAGGTTGTGCGTGCGGTCAGATAGTAGAAGGTTGAAAAGTTGGTCAGATACGTTGAGAGTAGTGAGTGTGGTCAGATACTTTGAAGGTCGGCGTTCGGTCAGATACGTTGAAGGTCGGCGTTTGGTCAGATAGGTTGAAGGTCGGCGTTTAGTCAGATACGTTGAAGGTCGGCGTTTGGTCAGATACGTTGACGGTCGGCGTTTGGTCAGATACGTTGAAGGTCGGCGATTGGTCAGACATTTTATGGCTGCGAGTCTCGTCAAGGCATTGAAACCTAGTTTTCTGTTGAGATGCACTGAAGTATATACTCCGGGCCAACGACATTGGAGGCTATTCGTTTTTCCTGGTAATTTATAGTTTTTTTAAATACGGTGAAAATTGTTGGGACCTGGTGATGAGGTGCCTTACCAGCTTCTCCTTCACATAACCATAATTAGAGACCAACTGGGATATGCATGCACACTATCAATATGCCAGAAAAACAACAGTAGCTATACCAGACCCAGTCCACAACGCTGCCATCAGGATATGCACCGGAGCATTGAGAACGTCCTTAACCACCAGCCTCTATACAGAGAGCGGACTGAACCCATTTTCAAGAAAACCCATTTCCATACACATCTCATCATTTGAAGACTACGGCCGACTCTTTACAGTTGCACAGGTCCAATATATGCAGCTTTTGCCCGTCACGTTCGAGGATACTCTCACGTAGCGAATTTCTATCAGCACCTTCTGCTCGGATCAAAACATCCCTCTGAAGTCTTAGTTACAGCCAGCCGCGCTGAAAAACTTTTCTTGTACCACGCAACCGCGAAGAATGCAAACTCGACGCATACATTCACGGATGGCTCAAATTCGAATGGTGCCTTGAAATTTACGGCGGCAACTCACACAGCAACAATATCAAGATGACTGAATCCCACAGCATCAATTCACATCACGGAACTTTCTGGTGTCCTTTGTGCCCCTAGCCCTTATCGATGACCATCCCGGACATAAATTCACAATATTTGTTGACTCCAAAAGTGTAGTGCGAGCCATGAGAATATACAATGGCAAGCATCCCATCATCAGTCAAATCGTGGCCGGACTTGTACGCCTAGCGCGAAGCGAGGAGAACAGTGAGCTTCTGCTTGGTCCCTGGATACGTGGGAGTGAGGAGCAACGATTGGGCGGATGATCCGGCGGTGAGCGCTCCTTATTCTGACGTGGCCATCTACAGTGAGGAGGTGCCATGCCACGACCACTACCCCTCATCAGGACTAGCGTTTGCCATACATGGCGCAAGGTGTGACTGAACGTACGAGACAATAAACTGTGAACAATACAGGACAGCGTATCAGCATGGAGCTCATCGTACCAGGGATCCCGACAGATGGAGCTGGCATTGAATAGTTAGTTAGTTTAGTGGCCAAATGTTTACTAGCGCTTCAGCTATTACCCTGAGGGGTGGCATTGAATAGAATGAGGATTGGTCATACACGCCTCACTCGCAACTACCTAATTAAGCTCCACCATGTGCCCTAATGTTAGCCGTCGCCTTGTGCCGTACTGTGCCGACTGCCTGGTGCCCCGGACAGTACTGCATGTCTTAGCGGAGTGTCCTAGCCAGAGCGACATCCGCCAGTTCTGTCATCCCAGTTCACTCATGTACAAAAATCTGGTGGAATTCTTTAAATTCATTAAATGCCTGCAGAACCTGCTTACCTCGCTCCTAGCCAATTGTTCAAAATTGGATGATCCTTTAGGATTTGGACCATTTTTAATTTGTGAATTCCACCGATTTTTTGTTAACACTGATATTAATTAGCCATGTACTATATTCAACCAATTCTTAAGTTTGGGTTTGTTTACCGGCAGGTGTGAACCGTGTGATGTTCATGGCCAGCCATGGATGACCGAGCCAGCCGTTGATCCATCCTTTGAACTTGAATAAAGCCTGTTCAGTTTCTAGTAACAAATCCTTTTCTTATTTTCCTGATTCGTTGAAATTGGTTATGGTTAATAACTGAAGTCGGAAATTCAGTCGTCTTCTATTAGAAATTAAATTCAATATTCATTATTTTCGTATAACTCAACACTTCAGTCCATCATAACAAGATGTTCACCAGAATGCTAAGGGAGGACCCGCGAAGCAACTTCAGAACTGACAATTTTAGACGATATTTGATATAGAAAGCAACTTACTACCAAAATGTCTTGCGTGATCTCATGCTGGCACCGCCTTCCGATCATATGCCGTGAAGCTATATTTGCACCTATCCATTACCCAGACCAAACTCCAATTCCTTGACACTGAAGTCGCTACATAAAGCTGAGACAATGAATCGAGAGCGGACGCGCACGGTCTGTAATCCAAGAATGCACCGCCGAACCCCCGCGCATAAATGGATCATGCAGGCTCCATGCCTGGAATATAGAGAAGATCAAAAGCTACGGAAACAGCTGAAGAACGTACCTACGGCGAGAAATATATACCTGTCTTAAGCACTAGTAAATTTACAACTACTATTGTTATTAATATTATTACTAACGCCCGGCCTGCTTCCCGATTTGACCTGTCACAGGCAGCTGGGATGGAACCTATAGCTCACGGCTCCGATCCTGACAGTATCAAGTTGTATATATTCATTTTATTTCATGCCTATTTTCAACCTCTTTTTTGCTTAGTTTGCACTTTCGGCTATTGTAGCTTCGTCGTGTTGCTCATAAGTACGCTGACTCTCTGTTATCAACGAAGACATTCAAGAGTTCAGAAAGTTCAAAAAGTTGGTTTCAATAATTTTTGCAAAAGGATATCTAATTCGATCCGTCAATAATGGGTCAAGGATGGGCATTAGTATAGACTTAGCTCTGCTTGGAATCGTTCTGCTCACTGTGCCACACGCTGAAAGAAAAATTACTTGGTTTCTATCGTTAGAGTTGTTGATCATTATTATAAGGGCGAGATATGCTTATTTTGTTACGATTAGAGAGAACACGAATGAGCTATTGCTTCTCGAACAAAGCGATTTTCAGCGTGAATTATAACTGAAGGTCCATAACCCTCTCTCTCTCTCAGTTATCTAAAAAATATACCTATTAATTGTTATAGCTGAATAAAGTGGAGCATTGAAAAGTAAAATGTACCCTGCTTTATTGGTACATTTTGGTACATTTTTTTGGTATAGAGTGTAATTTTAATATCACAGAGATCCTAGTTTAGGCAAACACAGAAATTAGGATAGAGGTGCAGCATTAATGTATGCCTAGAAAATTTGTATTTACCGTTCCGCCGAATTTAATAGTTGCAACAATTCTTGCTGCTTCGCTATTTCTCAGCAGAGATCAAGTCAAATGATAGCCAACTGCTGCACGGTACATGCTTCTCACGGAGCAATGCTGCTGCATTGCCTTTGTTGGGCCACATGACGGAACGTCCCTCAATCCATGCAGTTGGTATGGACCCTTCCGTTTCATTGGTCCCCTCCAACCAAACAGCTCGTGACCACACGTTGGGCATCCTTTCTTGAAATTGAATGCAAATTGTAGATTAATAATCTTATGCTGGCTTGAAATTTCCCGAATTCTCATGTATATCTAGATTACATTTTCTTATTTAAAAACAAAAATACTCAATTGCCATTCAATGGTAATTGAACATATTGAAACAAATACCATTCAGCTAATAGTGTCTCTCAGTTTCGTGGAGAAGAGGAAGCAAAAGAAGTTAGCCAGCATCATATGGTAGGGTAGATAAATGACCTTGCGTTCAATATCTGCAATAATTATTGAACAACTTGCTCTAAAACGAGAGAGATTCAAAGCCCTTTTTGGCTAATTACAGTACACAAGAAAGAACCAGCATTTTTCTTCTCATTGACGAATGCAAATAAATTATTTTTCGATTAAAACACACCGACTTTCCCTGATGCCGACACAAGCATGCGCTTATTTGGTGAAGTTCTGTAAGGAATTCACACAAGCATAACGGCCTACCTGCATGGACGCCGTTTCAGACTGGATGCGTTCCAACCGGCTCCAGCTCAAAGCATCGAAAACCGAATTTATTTGGTTCGCGACCGCTCGTCGCCAACATCAGCTTCCAGCAAACCTTGTGCGCGCGGGCGACGAGTTCGTCGCACCTGCATCCTCTGTACGCAGCCTCGGCATTCAGCTGGACTCGGAACAATCTATGAACAACCACATTGCCAAAGTAACCGCTGCTTGTTTTGGCATCCTGCGGCGAATTCGTAGCGTCAGTCGCTGTCTCTCGAGGCCGGTCCTCGAGGCCCTCATGGTGGCGCTTGTGCTGACCAGGCTGGACTATGACAATGCCACACTCTACGGACTTCCCATCACGGCACTTAACAAACTGCAATTCGTAATGAACGCTGCAGCGCGACTCGTTTGTGCCCGGCGGAAATTTGACCACGTGACACCGATTTTGCGATTGTTTCGTCGACGCCTAAAACAACTTTTCCGTAGAGCCTTTGAATCTTAGACCTAGCCGTCATCTAATCTATCATGGATATTACTGGTTTAGCATAGATGTAGTTTGTTCTAGCATAGACGTCGTCAGTCTTGGCATACATATGTCTTTTGTTTTAGCATAGACGTCATCTGTTTTTATCCTCTCGTGTCTTTTTTGGCCACTTGTAACGTGCCCTTGAAGTTCGATCTGAACGAGACGCCACGACAATCTCTTCGTGGAATAATAATAATAATAATAATTTATTGAAACTCAAGTATAAACTGTAGCGAATAAACTTTGGATCCAGTAAAGTAGAATACCTGAACTGCAGTGGATGCAGTTGAGGAAACTGAAATTAGAAAAATATACCTTACTAAATGAATGCCAGAGATTGAGAAACGATTATACCAATTGTAACCGTAGCCTTGCAGTCTAATATGGTTACGTGCCATTCTAGCAATGGTCTTCACGTTCACTGACTTAGTATTTCACACAAGGGCATGAAACCATGGATATTCAACACAGAAACAAATTTAATAACAGCAAAATTCAGCAAAGTTTTGCCAAACGGGCTTCAAGTTAGTGTCACAGGGCTAATGCCGCAGGTTGAAATTATTTGCATTTTCGTTTGCAAAGGGATTAAGGGCTATTACATACAGTAATAAATCCTACAACCATTCAAATCTGATAAATAACAATTTGACAAATGTTCAGCATCTCCGCACCATACAGTACTGGTCGGCCTCGGGAGCAAAGTGACACGTGGAGAAAGAGTGATGCTGAAAACTACTCCTGGTAAACAAATGCTATACGAGATGCGTCAAACTGCGGCTACACCAATTATACCCAACAACTCCAATTTAGCGGTACAAAACTTGACAGTGAACGCATTTCCCAGTCTAACCTCAAATGAAATAATATGTACAGCAGAAATAATGTCGCGCTGGCTGCACTTGAGGCACGTAGCACACGGCAAAAGAGATGCGACGAGAATACCGGTGGTGATACTGTAAATTAACGGCAAAGAATCAGATCAGACAGACAAGTAACCGCTATTGTATCGGATTCAATTATTCATAATGTGGATCAAGATATATGGATCAATTATACAAAGTAAGATTAACTATTTCGAGACTAACCTTCTAAATTATTACCGCTGGGGTAAATTTAGAAGTGGCTTGAAAGCCGTTTAGAGGTACCTACAAAGGTGTTTGACAGTGCAGTTGAGTGCAACGGTTAGTAAATTAATGAATGGCTGACCCGACTTGGCTAAGTTAGTTAATAGGGTTGAAGCGCCACTGGGCGTAAAGTTAAAGGATCGAAAGCCGGCCGACAATACTGCCAAGTATAATTAATGCGTCAGAGACGTCTTAAAGTGTTGGGTCAGACCAAAATAGTAACGTAGAATGCATTAACTATTAAAAGGGCCCATAGTTTGCTTTAAATCAAATCAAATAGATAATAGGAAGCGAATTGCCCTTTGGTTCCGGTGAGCAATACAGCAGCCAAGAACACCATTTGAGTCACCCCCGTATTACATAAGCTGTCAAAATATTAATTCTTTAATGCTTCAGTAGTTCTTTCGACATCAATACTTAATCTAACACAATCTTCCAGGCCTTCGTTAAATTAAAACGAAACATAATTTCCAATAAACGGGACAAACTGAACAAAATTTCTTATAGTGCCTGGTTTACAGCAAAGTAGTTCATGTAGCCGCTTGGCGATTTGTGAATCAGGATTTTTACCATTCTTCACAAGCGTTTTTAATTTCTGTAAATAATTTTCAAATGGAAATGCACTCAATCTGTTCGAACTCATTTGATAGTTTGATACATCATCAGTTAAGTGGATCAATGAATGAATGAATGTTATATGTGACAATAGTTTCACCATAGATATTAGTTGAAGAACAAACAAAGTGAATTAAGAGTTCACGTGCATAAGCATGATAAGCATTTCGCCTTAAATCGTTGGAGTCTAAAAGTATTGACAGGGCAACTGTAAGAGACACGAAATGATTGTACACGTCCTCTCCAACAACATCAAGGAGTACAAGGGGGCCTGTGTAAAGGAGGAACTGTCTAAACTCCGTTGCCTTCTAGCGGTCAAGAAATTCAAGAGACCGAGGTTGATGAGCGAATTCTCATGGCATTTCGTCATTCAAACTTGCCATTTTTTAAATTATGCCAATTTGATTTGAGACAATTTGCATACTCGTGGCCCACTCTTCAAAAAATTAAGAATGCGTCTCACAGCTTCCAAACACACACTATGCATGTAGTCAAGAGGAAAGGCTGTGATACACTTAACGCCTAGAGCAATGAGAGGAGCAATGAGGAGGATGAAATCTTATTTCATCCCGGAAAATTCTTCATCTGTGCGCAAATAACACAGACCATGCTGACTGGTAAGTTGAACACAACACGTTCAGCCCATGTCCCTTTAGCAATGCACCGTTCACAACTGTAATATTCATTATGTCCTTTTATGTACTTCAAAAAAACCCTTGCAGATGCATCACAGATAAATGCGCCAAGAACAATTATCAATTGCACATCTTGATGATTCAGCTCAGATGCAAGCAATTCATTCAATTCCTGAAGAAAATCTGAGAGGTATTCTGCGACAGGACTGGGCTTATGTTTCCCACAATAAGTGGTTCAAGATCTTCTACGCCGCACAAAATGGGCCATAATTGTAGACTTGATGACTGAAGAGAGGCATTCCATCTAGATTGAAATTCAATGAGGCAACTCTACTCTCCTGAAAAAGTCACCATGTTGTTCTATAACTCTGGAAATACCGGATTTCCGCCTAAATTATTGATAGGTACCATTGCACTTCTCTTTAATTTGAATCATTTGTGGAGTCTGTAATAAGGTGCGAGCATCTTTAGGGAGACTATGCCCATGCATCTTAATATTAACAAGAGTTCATTGATGGATGAGCGAGTTTGGTGATTTTTAGCTGCCCATTTTGCCTGTTGTGATGATAAAAAAGGAACAATAGCTTCGTCAGTTGTATTTTCACAAAGAAGGGCATCACTATCACAACTATCCTCTAATATAGAAGAATCTAATATCAGCGAGTGGGTTTGAATATCAGGACTATCAATTCTAATACCGCTGCTGGAAGATTATCTGCATTATTATCCAGATCATCTTCCAAGCTAACAGTGGTGTTATATGGTAACAGTATTATTGGTAAAAGTATCTCTATTAGTAACAGTAGCAGATAAATTACTCTCAATTTCAACGTTATCAACAGTGCCACGAACGACAGCAGCGAATTCATTGTCGGTTGGTACTACTCTACTGTTTGAGATGTGACATTTCTGCAAGAAAAAAGAAATATGTCACTGCATTATACTCATAATTATCTATATATAGCCAGTACATCAATTAAGATAGTATGAAACTCAATTTTCAAAGTAATAATTGAGTCTCCAAGATCATAGAGAGATCAGTGCGAGAGATCTTAAGTGTAAACAATGCAGAATAAAAAATTTAGGCATGGTTAGGCTCCAAATATGTGTGTAAAACGGGCCCCAAATATGTCGGGGCCCATTCAATAAATAAATGATATATAAATAAAGCCGTTAGTGGCCACCAGACATTTACTTATGATCGTGTCTTACTTATTATTGCCATTAAGAAGGATGAATAAAACTGAATAAATGAACAAAAAATAATAATTGAAACAACCTATCAATGAATACAAAACAAATAAATAAACAAAACAAAACCGTGCGTTTTCATTAGGCCGACTAACTATTTTCACTAGTGATCGAAGCAAGTTTTAATATCGGAGCCTTTCTGCACATACAAAAACGAAAACACAAAATTAGAACTAATAAATGAATAAACTAATAAACGCAGAAATATAGCACGGATGACATATGATACATGAATAAATATAACTACAAATATGTACTAAAAGATCAATAAAAACTTCACAAACACCAGGGCACTGTCAACACTGAAAATAAGCACGACTAAAAGACCCACGTACCTCTGTGGTGGAATCGCGAACATATGAATGACAAGATATAGCGGATTCCTACGCGAGGTCACGTCAGTGGTGACTAAAAACCTAAAATAGAAATTACTAATCTAATATTTACAATAACGTACATAATCTAATATTTACAATAACATACGTCCCCTTACATCACTCCCCACCATGTGCAAAGCATTGCACTTAACCATATGCGTACACGTGCAGGGTGATGAAACCTAAAACAAAAATTCCGAACCTAGCCTAACAGAAGCCTAACAAATCAATACATAAACAACTTCAAACATGTTTCACAGGATTCAGTAAAAACTTTATTAGCTAGTAAATAAAACGCATTTAGATGCTATCATAATTGACAATAAATCACGAACATATTAAAACCATAACTCAACCATGATTCACAAAGCTGAAAATATTATTTGTTGAGTTATATATATTTATGAGGATATATATTTGTGGGAAAATATATTTGTTCAATTTAAATTGAAAATATCCTCAAAAATATAGAAATTGTATAAAAAATTATGACTTTCATCCTGCTCATTTACCATGCATAACCTAGTTCAATTCCTGACATTGAAACATTTAAAGAACAATTTGCTCTAGTATCTTGGAAACTTTACATTTTTAATTTTAAAACAGGCTGCACAACACTAAAACATGGCCTCTCTCACAATTTGCTTAAGATAATCTCTGGAATATTATCATTGACAATTAATTTGAATATTTAATGAAATTTAAATGCAGTCAGTTATGAAAACAAATGTCTGTATTAGAGAAAACAGGCAGTGATGAACAAATTTATGCATGAAAACGTGCACATCTTCGCAAATTGACTAGCAAACTAACACAATTAGATATATCAGAGCAAATTCTGTAATTTTGCACTGGAAATGGCCAATTTCCGGCTAATT